CTCAACGTATATTTTAAATTGCTACAATTTATTGTATGCTTACTGTTACACAAAACAAGTTTATTGACACTAATCATATATTTCATTTAGGTAAATATTATTTAGTGGATGCTGGCTATCCGACACCCATGAGATATCTTGGTCCCTACAAACGTGAACGCTATCATCTCCCTAATTTTCAAAGGTCATCTATACTTGAAAATGAGAATGAGGTGTTCAATTATTTGCACTCAAGTCTACAGAGCACTATTGAAAGAACTGTTGGAGTTTGGAAGAGTAAGTTTGCAATTTTAGGAAACATGCCGAACTATGACTTTCCAACACAGGTTCAAATTGTATATGCAACGATGGCTATACATAACTTCATTAGATCAACATCCATTTCTGATCCTGGTTTCATTTAGTTTGAACAGGAAGGTTCTTATGCAGAAGAAAATAATGATAATGATGGAGTTAGATCTTCACATATACCTTCATCAATAGAATCTTCATCTCACATAGCTCAACTTCATGACTCCATAAAAGATCAAATTGTTCACTATATAGAAGAATAGTCATGTCCTTTTTATTTCTTTTTTTTTCCAGATAATGTAATGTGTTGTTAAAAAAAACTATTTGGACAAATATAATTCGTTGCAGCCTCTATTATTAAGACAATTGATATGGAATTTTTTTGTGGTTATTTAATTTTGTGAAAAAAAATTATGGGATTTCTTGTTGAAAATCTTTAAGAAATAATAATATTTTTTATTGGCAAAATAAATCATTTTCTTGGAAACATGTTTAATTATTTTATAAATATATATATGCACATTAATTATTTATTATTTACATTATTTATGTCTTATTTATTATGTTGACAAAATATATATTATTAACAAATTTATTACTTCAAATAAACATATATTATAAAATATATTTTATTTAATTATCATTTAAACTTATATCCTTTTTAGTAATTTTTACATATAAAAAAGTACTTTTGACAACAATTATCTAAAAACTCTCAATTTATCAGAGTCATTTTTTCAGAAAATTTATTCTTTCAAAATGTATTTTCAAAAATCACTTTTCTCCCAGAAAACTATTGTCCAAATTATAATTTGGTTCTATCCAAATACCCTTGAAAAGGTATAAAAAAAATCACGTTAGAAAATCTTTAGCTCAACTCAACTCAAAGCTTCTGGCCCAAAAAAAAAAAACTAAAAAAAAACTCAACTCAAATCTAATTAGCCAAAGAAGATCAACTACCAAATAATTCATCATAAAAAGTATATTAAACTTGATAAAAACAGCCATATTCGTACGGTTAAAAAGATCAATAGCTATACATATTTTCTAAGAGAAGAAAAATTTATCCACATTATTCCCTTGGTAAAAATTTAATAAAAACCAGTGTTATAAATATGGGCAATTTAGATTTTACACCATAAATATTTTTTTTCATGCGTGCGTGATAAGTTTTCAAATCCTTTTTTTAAGATCTTATCCCCAGAACTTTGAAACGTTCAAAGAACCAATCCGAGAGCACATAACTAAGATCCAAAATTCACGTTAACAAGTGCCGAAGCCAAAGCTTTCTCTAAGTGCTCATTCATACATACACAAATGAAAGTTACACAATAATAAATACACTACCACAAGTACCACTTCCTATATATTACTTATACTACCAGGGGATTTAAACACCTCTTCAATACAAACAACAAATACCAATAATCAACATAAGTGAATCAAAAATCTGCACAGCATCAAACTCATATGAACACCATCATGGTCTTCCCCACAACATTAATAATGCCGGATGATGTCTTCAAGGGGCTTTATCTTCTGTCAAGAGATTTTTGGTGTACACACGATGCCTCCTCTCTCTGGCGTAGATAACCCAGAAGATCAAAGAAAGCATCACTGCGAGGGATACGATGAGCAATCCGAGGTAGATCCACTGGGTGTATCTTCTGAGACCTGGGCAATACCGGCCACTGATGTCTGAGAATGTGTTCCGGACAACAGTGCAATCTTCGAGATCTACCAAGAATGGTCCGTAATGATACAGACCGTAGCTCACGTTCACCGCAGCTGCCATTTGACCATATATTGTTGGAGTCATACGGCCCGGTGTGTTGCATATGCCAGAGGCTGAAACCTGACAGGTATAATTCTTCCATACCTGTTTGACACAGAATTTAAATGAGACAACTTTTTGTGCTCATGTCGGAGAAAAATGGGTAACATTTCTGAAGGATATGATCATGTGGTTATGAGTTATAAAAGTGTTCTGTATTAAACATTTTTTTGCTGAGCGCAGCATATATGAATTGTGAATTTTGTCCTTCTAATATTCGCTACATATAAATCTCATTTGAAAATCTTAAAAATGGTTTTTACCTCAGTGGCATTGTCCAAAGCCACTTGCCCAGCTGCACACTGCCTATCTGTGAGATCAGGATTGAATGGATTGCAAAGCGATGGCATGCGGGGACCAGACTGATTGTAGTACAAAGGTCCCGCGCTAGGTGGGAAGTTCCGGTTAGTGATATTGGCGACGACGTTGTCAATTATCTTGCCGATTTGGAATGTCACATCCTTGGATCGAGTCAAGGTTTCCTGTGCAGTAGCATTATCCACACAAGGAAGAATATCATCCAAGGCTGTACGAGCAGTAGGGTTCTGCACCCACTCATCCATGGCAACACAAGTATCTGCAACCGCACTGAGCAAATATGCCAACACAGTAAGTCTTCATATTATTTATTGTAGCATAGGTGACGTATCAAATTTGTAACTCATCAAATGATATTAAAAAGCACTCGAAATGTGTCTTTGGCAGTAACTTACACAATTATTAGTGACTACCCGTTAGCTTCCCCCCAAAAAAAAAAAAAATTATTATTATTATTATCTACGTTTTTGTTCCATCCATTCATATGGAAGATAAGTTTTCTACGTTTGAATACAAAGCAGCATGAATTAACAAGACTGATACAGATCTTCATTGTCTACACAAAGCAGCATAGGTGACGTTTGTTACAAAGGATAGAAACACGATTGGCATGACTAGTCTAAGCACAAGTTGAATGCTATAAGGAGATGCAGTTCACTGTATCAGACCAGAGAACATTAGTTTGAATAGTTTCCTTCCAGGAAAAAGCCTAAAAAATATAGGCTTATTCTTTCTTCGTGGAGGTTTTCACTAAATTTAAAAGACAAAAGGACCAATCAGTATGGCAACAAGACTGGAGTCTGCTCTCATTCTCAACAATTCATTTCCAAAAGCATAGAACATTTATTCGAGGACTGTGACGAGAAACTTCCAGATCCTATCAAAGTTAATAAATGGTGATTTAATAGCAATAGGACTGTAGCTCAACTAATCTGTCTAGAAGTTGAAGTTTAAATAATACTGACCATAAAACAAGCTGTTCAAACAGCATGTCCAACAATAGACTCCCAATTTTCATTCAGAAATTTTGATAATGTTGAACGTAAAGTTATTAACTTCCTACTTTAATTTCAGTTATATCATAAATGCAACATATTGTCCGGTGGCGTTAAATTTTACTCGTAGAATCTGCCCTATTGCAAAGCTCTATGCTGCCTTCTATATCAAGAGTATTAAATAATTCTCCTGTAAGGTCCCCCAAATTCTACAAATCAACAGTGCTACGTTTCAAACTACAAAAACATGGAACTAAGACCCCCAAAATGTTTGTCCCAAGATGAAAATTGAACTAGCTCATGATAACTTTGACAAAGGAGTACATCCACAACGACGTGATGGTAAGCAAATGGAAACTTACTTGTGAAGAAAGAGAAATACACCACACACAATAAATGTTCCAGCAACAAGAACCCATCCAACAATCACCAAACTGCAGCCATAAAAGACGTATCATTAACCAACTGGACAGCTATAATCAATCACACAGCCGTGAACGGTAAAGGAATAAGCAAGCCAGAAGGGGGAAAATACAGAAGATAGTTTAATCAATACGACTTACAAGTATACAAGACACTGCAGCCCAAAGATGGAAAATACTGCAAAATAGTTGAAGAACAAAAACACAAGAATATGAGATAAGGTTTATGAAAAAACATTATGACAAAACATTAAAAGTAAAAAACAGGAAAAACTTACTGAACCCAAGAAATGCAAGAAAGAGCATAACAGCTGCAATAACAATAAGAGTGAATCTCCTACAGAGAACACAACAGATGAATGTTAGCAAAAGCTACTTTCAATTCCAGTTAGTAGTAATATCAAAATTCAAAATTGTGTTTACATGGCATCAAAACCGTCTTGTATGTTTTTAGAATTTTCACGGGTCTCATTGGAAAGAGTTGTTGCAGCAGATCTGATTTTTGTTTGAACATCATCTATGTTCTTCTGAACATCCGATGGCAAAAAAATAGCATCAACTCCAATCTTTTTAGCTGCATCGAGATAATCTGACACATTCCTGAGGTTTTCAGCGGTGAAGTCAGCCTGCTTGACAACATAATCCAGTGTGTCCGACGAACTGCCATGAAATTTCCCCTGACCAGTGTAGAGGACAACACATCCAGCTCTAGCATAATTACAAAGATAAATTTAGGATGTCACAAAATGTCAATTCGAACATGGTGCAACATAAGATTTGTTCTAAGCGCAAAGAAAGTGAGAACAGAAGAGAGAGATACATTGCTGCCAGGGTGAAGAAAATGAGGAAGATCAAGGACAGAGCATAAGCTGTTCGAGAATAACCATAAGGTTCTCTTGGACAACAGCAACGACACAGACAGATAATGAATAAGCTAAGCCCAAATAGCACGAACCAAACTGCAGCAACGACGAAGAAGGGGACCGCAGTAAAAGCAACTGACTGCACCAAGATAAGAACAAATTGAAGTCAGTGAAGCATATTCACACCCTAGATAATATAAAGATAAACAAAAAGATAAAATTAAAACCAGATGACCAGTAGGGGCTCTGGAACTCTAGTACTCCTGATTACCAGATGAAATTATTATACCCAGGCCGGAGCGTAACTTATCATCAATTTCTTAGAAGAAGCTACCCCCGTTTTTCCGATAAAAACTAGGATGAGATGACAAATATCAACCCTTCACTGACTTTAGAAACAGAAAACGTGGTGGGGAAAAAAATCCAGAAGCAGGATGAGATAGTGAAGAAGAAATGAAAAAGAACTCACGGCAATATAATGCTTGTTGCTGATATTCCAACCACCAGTGTAGCGGTTAAAGTGGTCCAGAGGATCTTTCCGGCGAGTTCTGTCCTGAGCCAACACGAGAGAACTATTGCCCGTTGTTTCATTGGCCAGTAATCTCCTTGTCTTCCATGGCAGCACGTCAAGATACTGACTTCTACCAACAATTTCCACACCATCTTCTAGAAAAATCCAAAAAGCAAAAAACTCAAATACCCAATCAAAAAAACCCAATCTTGAACAAAAATATACAGGAATTAAGGCAAGAGAAAATTACCTGGAAAACGCCAAGAGTGGTTGGAAGGAGCGGTTCCAGAGACGGAAACAACAAAGAGGAAGAAGAAGGTGAAAATGAGAAGAAAGAAAGACGGGTTTGATCTAAAGCACAACATAATGTTGACGGCGCTTGTGTTTCTTCTTCTTCTTCTTCTTCCTCCTGTTGATGGCCCAGAGCCTCAGATTTTTCAGAGAAACACAGAGGAAAAGGACGAGAGAAAGAGGAAGCGAGGGTGAAAATAAAGGAGCGATAGCTATTTTAGTAACGAACGCTGAGATCTTCGGCATACGTTCCCCACATAAAAGGATTAAGGGTAGGGCCTCTCTATTATACCGTGTCTGGTATTTTTCCGTTCAGACCAAAATATCCCTCTCGGTTTTTTGATTTACTAAATTAATACTTTTGCTTTACTCTTTAGCTGTGGGCGCAGAGTCACCGCATGTGGCCATATACGTTAGATAACGCCAACACCGTCGGTCGAAATTACATCTTTGCCCTTCTTTAGGTCCGACCTTTTCTCTAGAGTTTTGGTATTTATTTAAGTGGGCTGATGGGCGAAAAATTCAAACCACCTCTTTAATTCTTTAATACCCTTCTGCTCAGATACGAAAAAAGTTAAAAAACAAAAAAAAAGTAGAGAAAATAAAAAAAAATGATATTATTCTTCTTACTTGGATAAACGAGAAAAAATTAAAAAAAAACAAATATCTAAATTACTAAAATATTTTTATCAAAATATATCATATTTAAAATTAAATCAAATTAAATGTTGCAATGGGACATTGTACTAGCATTATCATCATCAAATAATTTAAAATCAAATTATTTGGTTTATATTTTTTTTCAAATTATTATATTTTAAAACCAAATTATTTGATAAAAATAAAAAAGTGAATATCTTTTAAATATGATAAAAGAAAATAAATATGGAGAGTAAGAATTCAAGAAGGTGCAAGATGAGGGACAGTCACATAAATCTCATTTTACTCTCCAAATCTCTCCATATATTGAGAGAAAATTTGAAAAAAAAGAAAAGAAATGAGACTCATTTTATTTTTTCTCCTTTTTTTCTTCTACTCTAATATTTTCTCTTCTACTCAAGTAAGGAAAAACTCATTTCTTTTTTTTCCCTAATTTTCTCTCTTCTCTATTTTTCTCCCCATCCAACTAGGGGTAAGTCTTAACTTAAATGAAAGATCTCGAGTTCAAATCTCTGTGCATATAACAGGCCTATGAGTTCTTTCCGATAGATAAAAATTAAAAAAATATATATAGGAAATTGAATTGGAAATCTAACTTGGAGGACAATTTTAAAGAGAAAGAGTTCAATTTACAAGAATTGCAACACTTTAAGGAATAATGCGCACTTTATATTATTCAAACTAGTATGAAACTTACGCTATGAAAAATGTGTAATATTGAAGACAAAGAGATGAGTTATCTAGACGATGATTACGAGAATCATAAGATAGGCGTTGGTCATTACAGTTTAATTAAAAATTTTGTTTGTAACCCCTTGAATTTTTGTTACGGGGCACTGTGTCCCACCCTATATTAGAAAGGCTGTTACATTAAAAAAAATAAAATAAGAAAAATTGTTAATTTTGACATTAACTTCGTTTGACGTTATACCGAGGCTTTTGGAAATTCTCAACATTTGCTTAAATTAAAATAAATAAATAAAACCTAGAATGAGAATGCCCCCAAACCATATTTTTCGCCTTTCCCTCTTTTTCCTTTTTTTTTTAATAGGAAAATTGCCAAGAGCAAAATTTATAGCCCAAATCTCACCCCAAAAAAAAATACTTATTGCCCAAATATACTTGAAAATTGAAATTCTATTAAAGATTCAAGTGCAAATTATTTAATATTTTCAACTAATGCAACATTTTCTTCATTTGTGTGTAACCCATTTTCACTTATTTATAAAATGAAAAACATTTACATATCAAAACTGAAGATGAGTTTCATACATTCAAAGACCTGAATTCTTGGTTTTTTTTTTTTGTAATAAATTTTGTGAGGAGGCATTTTTCTATAAATTTTCCCTTTTTTCCTTTTCTTTCTTGATGACAAATTGAAATTAACATTTTGTTGTCACCATTGTCATGTTCTTCAATAGATTTCTTCTATGTTAAGGCAAATCGTATTAAAAGGGAATCGCTGTTAGGTTTCAAAAAAGAGATTCAATTACTTAAAAATTCATAAGTATGGGGTCCTACTTATAAGCAAAAAAAAAAAAAAGAAGCTCATAATCCTCTTAAAAATGTCATTTGGCCTCTCTATTTCGTTTTGTCCCCTGATCCAAAAAAAAAATTTATGTCTAAGTCTATTTAGTTTTTAAGAAATATGAAACATCTATATCCAAAAGTATAATTTCCAATTATGGTGATTATAAATTATAACATCTCTTAAGTAATTAATTAGAAATTTCCCCCGTGCAATGCACGGATTATATTTAAAATTCTAATAAATTGTATTATCTATTGTAGCTTAATATTTACTTTTTATAGGAGTATAACTTTTTTATTCATTCAAATAGAAGTTGAATTATAGATGCGGAATTTAGGAGGAATAGATAAAAATTTAAAATTATTTATTTATTTCTCTATTTAAGCCTTCAATTGACATACTATTTAATTATGATGCTCCACATTTAATGCAATATATTCAAATCTCAATTAAAATATTATTCAAATTCAAAATTAATTATTAATTTCTTTAATTGAGCCTCCAATTGAAATTTTATTTATTTATAATATTTTCTGTTTAATTTAATATATTCAAATTTTAATCAATATGTTATTAAAATCTTATTAATTGAATATAGTCGGATCCAATAATATCATACCCGACCCATTTTTGAATGAATTCGGTATTATAAGTTTTCAAGAATATAATTGATGATTGATTGATTCTAATAAATGTTATTTTTATATTAATTTAATAAATATGTTTAATTATATTTTTCATGGAAATTTAATATCCATAGCAATTATATTGATTATAAAATTCAACATATATTTGCTTCAAAATATCAAATATCACACATGTTTAACAAAACAAAAGAAAGAAATAAGAGCAACATGCGCCAATTTGGCTACTACTTCAAAGACAATCAACCAAAAGCAATTTTTGTTTTAGGACTAAACATTATTGCTTTCAAAACATCGATTTTATGTTGGCTTTTAAAATAGGAAATTTACCATTAAAAAGTGAGAATATTTTTAATTATTAATTAATTATTGCACGCGAAGCTTGATATAAAATATTGTTATTCTTTCTTGGTGGCAGACAATGAAAGTGAAGAACAAAACCAAAAGTCACTGTCTGAAATTTAAAAAAAAAAAAAAACCACATACTATACTTTTTCGATTTGCCCCGTGGAACTGTCAATATGGGATCAGCATCTCTATTTTTTCCTGAATACAGCATAAACTGAAATTTTCAATTTTACCAAATTTTATTAAAAATAAAAAATTAGCTATTTTACCGCATTTCTTCTGTGTTTTTTTAGGGAGAATCCCAATTAAATCCAACCGAAATACCTAAATTCAGATTTAGGCCTGCACTTTTAGCAAATTCCTAATTAGGCCATGAGACCTAATTAGGGATTTTTAAATATTGTTAAATAACCAGAATGCCCTTCTTCAATTAAAAAGAAAATTTGATTAATATACCTCTCCTAAGTGATTCCTCATCTCTTATGATTTTTTTCAGACCAAAAAACATATAAGTAATTTTACGATGTTTGAAATTTGTATAACTTACACTATTAAAAATATTTTAATAAAACATGTTAAATTACAAATATAAGTAAAATTATAAATATAAGTAAAGTTTAAATAAATTTTTTATTTTCAGTTTTTATAATTTATGTTAGTTTTATTTATTTAAACAATGTTGGATCCAACTGAAAATGTAAATGATTATGATTTAATATTAAATTTTTATTATAATTAAAATATTTTAAAATTTTAAAATAAATATTTACAACCTGAAAAAAATATTTATTTAAAGATTACTTATATTATAATTTGAAATGTTTTATGAAAATATTTTGAAGATTTTAGTTATATTACAAAATTTCAAACACTAAAAAATTATTTATATTTTTTTGTCTAAATATTAATAATAAGATATGATGAACCACTTTAGAGGGATAAAATAATCAATTTTCATTTTTAACTAAAGAGGGGCATTATAGTTATTTAACAATATTCAGCAATTCCTAATTAGGTCTTATGTCCTGATTAAGAATTTGTTAAGAGTGTAGGCCTCAATTTAAATTTAAGTATTTCAACAGGATTTAATTAGGATTTTCCTTTTTTTTTTTATCTAGACACATGTTTATAAAAAATATTTTAAAAGTTAAAAAGTTAAATGTAACAAAATAAAGTTAAAGGAATGAAATAAATCTTAAAAGGCCACAAACAGAATAACACACATGTTTGTTTTTAAAATATTTAATATCATATATGTTAAAAACAAAAAAACAAAAGGAAAGAAATAAGAGCAACAAGACCCGATTTGGCTACTTCAAAGACAATAAATTGACCAAAAGCAACAACAAAAAATTGAGCACTAACATTTTTCCTTTCAAAACATGGATTTTATGTTGTTTTTAAAATAGGAAATTTTACTTTAAAAATGAAGCTTAAAATAAAATATTGTTATTCTTTCGGGGAGGCTGACAATTAAAAATAAAATGGAAAAATTAATTTTTTGTTCTTATATTTTTGACTCATTCATAATTCACTCATCTTTAATTTAATCATTCAAAATATTAGTATCTATATTTCTTAAGAAACTAAAACTCAGTCAGCTAGTCTTAAAATTTTTTACGATTTTAAGGACTTCAATGGTCGATTTTCGACTGTTTTAAAATCATAGGAGCTATGTTGAATTTGATCAAAAATTTAAGACAAAAGTACAACCAAGTTAAAATTGAAGGTTAAAATTTATCACAAACTTTTCTTTTCCTATCCATCACGTGAAACTGTCGTTTGTGACTTTGTGAGATCAGCATTTTTGTTTTTGTTTTTTTTCCCGCAATAAAACCCCTTTTTAAGGAATTAAAAATTTTAATTTTGGAGACTTGATTTAATTTTAAATATAATATTTAATTTATTTTGTTTAAAATATTTATCATTTTTTTTCAACTAATTGTTATACCGATTGGACATGTTAATGAATTATTATCAATGAGTAATTTAAATTCATATAACTAATAATAACATTTTTAAAAAATAATATTTATTTATTATAAATAAATATCTTAACTAATTTTTTA